CATCTGGAACACTTCAAGAAACATTGTCCCTCTCTCTCTCATGAGCAAATTAAACGTTAATTAACAAAAGACTGATAAAATGAAGACTATGCGTGATAATTATTTTGAGCAATACAAAAATGTTGTTAATATCTTACCTTCGGACTTTTCGTTTTCTTTTTTCTTATACTGTTATTACTATATTTGCCCTTTAGCTTAGTATTATTTAATGAAGAAATACTCGTATTACACTGTTTCAAGTACAGTCCGAAAGAACCGAACAAACTGGGCTTAGTAATACACTTAGTGCAAAACGAATATAGCTTCAAACCATTTCCTTACGGGTAAACTTGTACACCCATTCAAGACTGTGGGTTAAAAAGAATGTAGTACATTTAACAGAATGAAAATAAAGAAACAAATACAAGGTCCACCAGTGCACCGATCACGAGATGAAGCAGCTTCAGACAGTGCAACCATGGAAAAGCTGACAGTTGCGAAGTAAATGATATCAAACCGGCACCATCGAGGCATTACATGAACTAACATCTCAAAATTTGACAGAAATGCGATTAATTCTTTCATGTAGTGCATTAAATTAGGCTAATTCTATGAAATTACGAAATACTATCCGAGGATTTCGTCGTGCAGCCCTTTAGTCAGTGTAGCCGATGAGTCACAAAGCTCTGGTAAGCAGTCTAATGATGGATCTTTTTGGCATTTGATTAAAGAACTAGCAGCATAAAATGCAGGAGTGCTCAATTATTTATGCTATGACTAAGACAAGCAATCAAATCAAGGCGCAAGCTAAGCTTCCGGCGCTCTAGAACAAATCCAGAGAAAGGCTTTTTTTAGCTTTCACAATAAAAAAAGAACTTACAGCCACCAAATCTAATTTCCTGGTAAACATTCGTATGAAACAGGACTGTTGAAAGAGTCGAAAAAATGAAGGAGTCAGAAAGAATGTAGAAACTGCATGTGAGAGTGTGGGGAAATGTTATTGATTCAATGTCGATGCTAATGTACGAAAAATTTCGAAACTAATGCATGTAAAGAAGCCGACAAAGCCAATTTACCAACAGTACACTTCTATCAGTGTTAAAGTATAAATACTTTTGAAATTACTGTATGTCAGAAAAA